GGATCAAAGTCCCTTACAGCCACATCCTACAATTGTCAGTGAGCTGTGGGTGGACAGAGGAGAAAGCAGCAGTATTTGAGTAAAACACGGCAGTAGTGGGGCAGAGGGTGAGAGGCGTCGGCTTGTCTGATCAGCTGAGGTTGACTGAAGCTATCACTGTAAAGCATGTGTGCGGCAGCTCTGGAGGAGTACTGTGGGTCCATTTTTTGGGTGAGTTAAACAAGCAGAAAGACTGAAGAATTAATTCAAACAAACATATCAGATTAGTAACATACAAAGTAATTTGTCTGGAAGGTATGTTGAGAATGACAGCAAACAGACATAATAGCACCTCATAATACCATGTCAGGGACATGTTGATGTCATAGTTTTTGGCGTTTTTTTTATATATTATTATTACTTATCTTTTTACTTTGGCTTTTGATTCTAACTAGTTGGCTGTTCTAGCTTATTGTGTTGTTACCTATTGTTTGTTGTCCTGTTTTATTGTTTGTTTTAATTGTCTCATGCTTTTACTGACTGTGAAGCACTATGGTCAACACTGTTGTTTTGATATGTGCTATATAAATAAATTTTGATTTGATTTGATTTGACCTTATAATACCATGTTAGGGACATGTTGATGTCATAGTTTTTTGCGTTTTTTTTTTTAACGATCTTTTTTTTTATGCTTTGGAGAAATAAAAGCTGTAAGAAAAGTGAAGCTGATTAAAAGGCAGTAAAAATGAAAGATATACGTGTAAAAAGCTGGTCATGTTATTGTGTCAGTCTGTTCAACACAGAATGGACAAACAAGAAGGTAATGGTTTCTATTTGTCACAGCAACTGTGAGACATCTTCCAAAAAGGCAGAAAAGAAAATGATTAACTTTCTGGTTTCAGAAAGTTTCTGGTTTCAAAAAGTTAATCAGTTGAATTTTTAAAACAACTTTATGGTTCCCTTAGAAGGGCAGCAGGACTTTGTTATGTATATGTGTTTGTTTGTATGTGTCCTTCAGAATGCTTCATATCTGAAGCGACCAGACCCAGACCTTCCACTATGTGTGGAACAGACAGTTCTTGTATGGATCCCCCTTTGTTTCCTGTGGCTCTGTGCCCCATGGCACCTGCTGGCTCTCTGTCAGAGTGCAAATGTAAACACAAAACAACTGTCCAAGCTCTACATCTGCAAACAGGTAAGAAATACCATCTAATAAAGACATCTTCATAAAGAATTGTTGTTTCAGTTCATAGCTTAGGTAGCTGTCTTCTAGTTTCAAATGTTTAACTGTATACTGCAAATAAATATTTTTTACTGTAAGGTTTTACAGGATTTACAGGAAAAACTGAATGAGATTTTTTTAATATATAAAATATGAATCAAATTACAGTAAAATGACAGTAAAAGATGACAAAATGACATTAAAACTAGTTTATGTACCTTTACTTGGATTTGTTGACAATTAACACATATGTT